TCAACTCTATACCATATTGACTTCAGAGCCGTAAGGAAGGAAGGAAACCCACTGGGATTGGCATCATTTTTTAAAAGAAAATACCAAGTGTTGATGAGACTGCAGAGGAATTGGCACCCTAGTGCAATGCTGGCGGGAATGTGAGATGCTGGACCCGCCGTGGGAAACACATAGAATTACCATATGAGTCAGCAGTCACCCTCATTGGCATGTCCCCAAAGCAACCGAAAGCAGGGATTTGAACAGATATTTCAACATCAGTGCTCATAACAGCATTATTCCCAACAGCCAAAAGATGGAAAGGACCCCAATGTCCACCGACAGATGAATGGATAAGTGAAACATGGTCTAGACACACAATGGAATATTACGCAGCCTTAAACAGGGTGGAACTCTGACACACGCTACAGCGTGGATGAACCTTGAAGACATGAATGCTAAGTAAAATAAGCCAGACACCAAAGTACACTTATGAGTCCACTTACATGAGGTACCCAGAGTAGTCAAGTTCACAGAAACAAAAAGTAGTTGCTAGGGGATACGCGGTGGGGATGGTGGAGATTCCTTATTTGATGGGTGCAGAGTGTCTGTCTGCGAGGATGAGCAAATTATAGAGACGATGATAGTGGCAGTGGCCCAACTACACACATGTCCTTCACACAGCAGAATGGAGCACTGAAAAATGGTTAATGTGGTCAATGTTGTGCCATGTGTATTTTACCACAATAAAAAAAAAGAATTAATTCATCCCTTTGAGGCTTGGTTCAAATGCCAACTTCTGTTTCATTCAACCCCAAGGCCCAACCAGGCCTCATATGTCCTTCAGGAATTATTTGTTTCATCGATCCAAACCAGCAAAGGTGTTTTTTGTGTGTGAGAGAGAAAAAAATGGAAGCCATTCATTTATTCATTCGACAGGCACGAAGGAGCAGCCACCCTGTGCTGGGGGCCGTATTGAACACCACATTAAACAGAGGACTAACTCAATGCCACAAAGAGGTCAGTGGGCAGCAGGCAGCTGGAGGGAGCGGAGGGTGGTCAGGGAGGGGTGGTCTTGATGCTGGTTGCTGGGGAGTGAGCAGAGACACAGGAAAGAATGGTTGTGGAGGTAGCTTTGACAAGACATTTACAAGAGAGGCTGGATGGATGTCAGGGCCGAGTGCTCCTCCCGTGGCTTGACCTGCGCGGCAGTGACCTTGGGCAGCTACTGAGCAAGGTCCCCACGTGTGAGACGAGGGGAGAAAGAGTTCTCTGCTGGCCGCCTGGATCATCGTGAGAATTAAACAGGAACGTGAAGTTTGTCAAGCAACTGCCTCTCAGTAGGCGCCCTTCCTCGTTGAGTTAGCTGGAGAAACCCCCTTGTGGTTGAAAAACCCTCCCTGGTGCTGAGAACCGGTTCAGAGTCACTAGAGACTGAGGCCTTCTGGAGGTCACGGCTGTGGGTCCTGACACCTTCACCCACACAGCCAAAGGGCCCATGTACCCCACGTCCCTGAGCTTGGTGGAAACACCCACCTGGGCCAGGGTGGGGGTGCTCAGCTCAGTTTCAGGACCTTCCACAGCAGAGCAGCCCATTTCCGGGGCCTGCGGTCTGGGTTGGGGTCAGCCGTCCCAGCTGAAGCTTGAGAACTAGCTCAAAACCCTAACCTCTCTTCCCAGAGGCCAGCTACTCGATGATTCAGAATCTGAGTGTGAGCCACCCTTGGTGGAAACTGCAAAGCAAATAAAGACACAGGATTTAACGGCACCCAGGTTTGGGGAAGGGGGTGAGGGGGGCAGCACCGAGCTTTCCGGAGGCCAAGGATTCCTCATTATGGTTTTAAGTCCAGTTTCGGTTTCCATCTTGGACCGGCGGCAAAATCCCATTTTAAATTCACGCTGCCCACATTTCTGATTGATTTTTGTTTGTCTAGAGCCTCTGGGAGTTGCCAAATCTCCATCAATAAACTAGAGAGGATTTAGGAAGAAGTAATTAAAGGGCTGGAGCCAGCGGGGGGAAATGGGAGAGGTCAGGCATGAGAGACAGGGGCCACTCTCCCAGCCTGCAGAGAGGGGGTGCAGCTCCAGGACGTGCTTACAGAGATGGCCACCAGAGGACTCGCGAGGGTGCAGCCCTGTCCAGCCAGAGCCCTAGGAAAGCCAGAACTAAGCAGTGTGACAAAGCACAGGGTTTGGAATCTGGAAATCTGATTTTTGAGTTCTAGTTCTGCAAGAGAGATTGCTTGGGTGGAGGTCATTTAATCCCTGCCTTTTGGTCTCAGCAAGGACCTCAGACCTCAGTCAGAGCTGGCCCTGCCCTTGCCCTTTCCAGAAGGGTCACCTCAAACAAAGCCCCAGCTGAGTGGGGCTGGACCTTCTGAATAACCTCACCCTGCTGGCCCCTGCTCACTGCCGGAGCTGGCATCTGGCCAAGAGTGACCAGTCACCAGACTGGAGGCTGCACAATCAGATTCTGAGAATTTGAAAGGAAACTGGAGATGCATTGATAATGATCTTGGGGACACGATTGGAGTGTGAGCACCATGTGGGGCCACTGGCAAGATGAGGAAAGGGAGCGGGGAGGACAGAGTGACAAAACACAAAACTACCAGAGCTCCCTCCTTGCTGACCTGGTTCCTCAGTACCTGCTTGTACGAGGTCCCCTCCACGCTGTCTCCTGTCCTCTGATTCCTGAGCTGAAAAGTCCTCAAGCCACGCCCTCCACCTCTTCTACTTCTTGAACCCTCACCAGCCCCACCCACTGGGAACAGTGGCAGAGAATTAAATGAAATAATGGACTGGGCTCTAACCCCTTGGTGGCACCGTGGGTCCTTCTCTCCCCCCTCCCCCCAAAGCATCCCAACTTGTTGACGTGTCTACATGTCCAACTCAGGGATGTTCGCCTTTTTCCTGTTTGTTGTCCCCACGGCCCTACTTAACTCCCACAGCTGTCCCTTGAGAGCAGGGCCTTGCTCATGCCCTGTGAGCCCTAGCTGGTGACACCTGACACCTAACAGGACCTCAAGTAACATGTGAGGACCGACTGAGCATGTGGGTGGTAGTGATCCTCTCCCCTCAGTCACCCACGTTGCTGTGAACCGCAGGGTCAGCCTCAGCTCTTCCTCGTCACTCACATTCTGCACGCAGGCAGAGCCCTGGCACTGAACTTCTCACGTGTTTCTGCCGAGTCCTCTCTTCCCCACCTGGTATGCCACCACCCCAGCTACTTCTCCCTGGGCTGGTGCCACTGTCTCCTCAACTCCACCCTCCACTCTACCTCTTTGGGAGCCCTGAGGCAGCTTTTTTTTTTTCAATGCTGCCCAATCCCCTTGGCTTTCAAATCACTTGGTGTTCTGGGCTCTTGAGCAGGTCAGTGCCCGCCTCTCCAGCCTCACTGCTTCTACTCCTGGCTTCTCCCTTTTGGCTTCAGAAGTACAGAAATGTTTGGCCCTGAAATGGCTCATCTCCCTGGCCCTTGACCCTGCTGTCCTTACTGCTTTGAAGGCTGCACTCACTCCACCGCCCCCCTCACCGGTTGTCACTCAGGTTTTAACACTCAGCTTAGCCATCACCTCTTCTAGAAAGACTTACAGGGCTCCTCCGGCCTGGCTCAGGGCCCTCTGCTGGGTTTCCAGGCTCCCCTGTGCTTCGGTCCCATCAGAGCACCTCCCTGGCTGTGCGTCATCGCTCACTTGTCTGCGTGCCCCACAGGCAGGACCGGGCAGCCTGGCACTTCCTGTGTACCCCGGGAGGGTCGAGGAAGCAGCAGACATCGATTTAGTACCTGCTCTGTTTCTTGCCAGCTGTGTGACTCTGGGCAAGTTGTTTCACCTCCGTAAGCCTCCGGTTCTTCAACCAGATACTGGAGTAATAACAGCCTCTGCATCACAGGAGGGTCGGGAAAATTAAAGGCATTGCACGTAAGGCCCTCACTGTGCCTGGTTTGTGGAGAGGGCTCCCTGGATGTCAGCCGCTAACAATAACAAAAGAAAAATATTTCTAAGACTGCTAGGGCAAAGGTCTCCAAACATCAGGGCTAAATCTGCTGTTCCAAGAAGAATTAAGGAGTCTTTTGGAAAACAGCAGCAAAAACAACAAATCTCCCTTCACTGTTCCTTCAAGGAAGTTGGGGAAGGCTTGTTGAACAATCGGAGGGCCTGCACAAACCACGATTGAGTTAAAAGTGAAAATCGAGAAGTTTAAAGGAAAATCTGGATTTCCTTTGGAGGCAGATGGAGGGGACTTGGCCATCTTGAGACACTGGAGGGACAGATGGCAAAAGATGGACAGAATGTGGCGTTCGGTGGCGTGGGGTGGAGTTAGAGGCGAAGCTGACCTCCCTACCGATTGTCAGCCCCCTGGGTGTTCAGCTGCTGCACCGCCCAGGAGCCGGAGTGACACTTGTCCAGGTGACAATAGAAATTCTAACCCTTCTCAGGAGAGCCTGGGACGATGGCGCCCGGGGAAACTGGGCTTTAAGACGTTTCACACACCCTCCTGTGTGTGAGGCAGGGGCTGCCCAGAGAGGTTGCAAGAGAGTAGGAACAATTCCCAAAGAATTGGGGCAGGCCAGGGGGCAGGGCTCTGTCGTCCCCACCTTTTCCCCTGACCTCCCCTCAAGGAAGACCAAGGGCAAAAGCGCGCCGGCCCGGGGGTCAAGCGGGAGGCGCTCTAGGCACATCTCCGCCTCCCTGCTCAGCCTCAGTCTCCTCCTCCGAGCAGTGGGTTGGCATCCCTTCACTTAGAACAGCTCCTGTAAGCCCGCCCGAGACAGCCGCTCCCGAGAGCCTCCCCCTAGGGTGTGGGCACGTCCCGGTCTAGATCCCTCCCGCCGCCTCCGGGGGCCGGAACGTGAAGGCTCTGCCAAGCTGTTGGGAGGGGAGCGAGCGCGGGTGCGCGCGGACCGTGTGGTGGCAGTTCCCCGGCGGGGGCGGCAAGCCGGGCGCGGGCCGGGTCCCAGAGCCCAGAGCCCAGCGCGCGGCAGCCTCTCCTGGAGGTCGCGCCGCGAGCGTGACATCACGGGGAGGGGCCAGCGCGGCGCCCGGGGCGCAGCGCCTAAGCCCTGAGAGCGCTGCGCCGGAGCAGAGTGGCAAGGAGCGCGAGCCGAGGTCCCCATGGAGCGGTACAAAGGTAAGGGCACGGGTTCCCCGCCGCGTGCACCCACTTTCTTCCCGCCCCGCAAAGCGTCCGGAAGAGTTAGGGATGGCGCTGCTGTCCTATGGTGCGCCTCACATCCCGTGGGATTCAGGTGAGCGCAGTCGCCTGCTCCGCTCAGCCCAGATCGGGACCAAAGACCGGGGCCACAGCTTCGTCGCGGGTGGGTAAATGAGCTCCTAGGTGGTGGCTGTGGCGCGGGCCCTTTGATCTTTCCAGGGCGCGGACGGCTGGGGTCGGCGAGGGGGAGCCTCTCACCTGTTGGAGGCGAGATTGTGCCCTTGGCGACCGACCCCCGCCCCCTCAACCCCGGGCCGTCCCGGAACGTGCTGGGGCCCGAGGGGGCCAGAGTGAGGTCTGAACGGTGAGGAACGGCTTCGCGGCAAAGGGGCGTGTTATTAGATCCTTTCGCCCGGACGCCAGCAGGAGTGGAAGGATTCCCGCAGACCCGGGGAAAGAGCCTGCGCGGGGCTGAGCTTTGTTGGTGGGGTGGGCGTGCAGTCCCACTCCCACCTAGGTCAGGCCGCCCCAGTCGTCCCACTGCTCCGATAACCGTCCCTCTCCGAGCTATTCTCTCCCCCGCCCCACCCCTCCCCTCCAAGAGGGGACGGTGCACGGATTGGGTAGGGGTGAACCGCGTGCCCCGCAGGTGGAACTCGTGGAGGCGCCCGGAGCCCAGGGCTTAGCTCGGTGAGCAGCTGGGCAAGTTTTGGGTTGGGCCCTGGCCGGGAATGTCGGTCAAATTCTGGTGGGCGGGCCGGCCCGGGTTGTCTCGTGCCCAGCTCGCACCCGTGCTCGGAGCCCCGGGATTGGAGTCTGGAAGCCTCGGATTGTAGACCTTTGGAAAAAGGAGTTTCAGAAACTGCCCCGCAAGTGGGACGTTGCGGGCGCCTTCTACCCATCCCCCCCCTTTCTTTTGGGAAAGCCTCTTGCACTTTCTTGTCCTGGACTCGTCTCTGCCAAACCTGACAGAGGAAATACCGTTACTATATTTATTTTCCCTGGGAAGAGAGGAAGAAAAGCCAATGCTCAGATTCCCAGGGAGTCTCACTCTCAACGGTTTGTTTTCAAAAACTGACAGTAAGGAAACTTTAGGGATTGGCTTTAGTTCCCTAAGCTAGCCGCGTCTCTGGATTTCCCCACTGCTTTTTCTCATCTGAGTCACCTGGTTACAGTTGAGGGCGAAATACCTAAATTGTAGGCAGGGCTTCAGGTGTAAAGGAAGGGGCTTTGCCGGGAGCAGGGAAACCAGCTGGGGTTGCAGGGTTAAATTAGCTGGCAACTCTCTGTGTCTTTCTGTGAACCGTCCCTGGAGCCTCTCCCACATTTCTAAGCGGGTGGGAGTTTTGTCTAAATTCTGTTGAGCCTAAGTTTTGTGCCTGATGCATCACTGAAGTAATGCGCCCTTAAGTAATCTCAGAGACTGGAGGAAGCCACAGTCCCTCTCCTTGTAGAATGGCAGTTTGCTGCTCCCTCCCTGATTCTGTCCCCTCTGCCCTTCGGGAGGGACCCGCACAGGGAATTCAGGACTTGAGTTGCCCTCCTGAGGCGAAGTGTTGGCCCCTGGCATTCCTTCCAGCTTGGGGGGGGGGGGGCGCTGTCACGCCTTAAGTGTGGTAGCTCCAGGTTAGGTCCAGGTTGCAAGCTACTTTCTCAACATCTAAGTTAGGGCAAATTTGGGGTCTGCTTTCCCAATGCCCAGTTCTTATCAGAAGGTTTTGTATTAATAGTTTTCGACTTGGCCCTTGACCTGAGAAAGGCTTCTTTCTTATCTTTTCCTCTTGAGAACTTAAAATCCTCCTACCCTAGACGTCAGGGGCGTTCTGCCAACTGAAGGAAACTACATTTCCAGTTCTGAGTGTTGATGTTTTTGTAACACATGTCTCTGCCTCATCATGTTGCAATAAATCGGATACAGTGATAAGCAGATGCATTTGAGGATTATCTGAATTGCAGAGGCTAATGTAGCTCATCTTTTACTGTTGGACTCTGGGAAAAGATCGAGTGTCCTGGGTAAATGCTACCAGGATGTCTACCTTTCAGCGGAGGAATTTGGGGGTTCCCCAAACCTTGTAAAATTCCCAGTTCCCCAGAGAAGCAGATGAGCTGTGCTTTGAACACTCACTGAATTAAAATGTTGGTCTGTGCAAAATAAAGCGTGTTGGGCCCAATCTTCAACTAATTGGCCTAGAATCTTGGTCTCTTCCTGTTTGTCAGAGATTGAGGCCCCGCCCCCTTTCAAGGTAAGATCCAGTAATTATGGGATGAGGGTTAGTGTTTTCAACAACAGAGTTAAATTTAAAAAAAAGCAAGACCTGCTCTGGCTGTCAGACATATGTAAGAAGAATTCTGGGGATGTTAAAAACACTGTAGTGTTTTAAAAACACTATTGGGGATAGGAACACATTAAAATTTGTCTTTAAGCGCCTCATTCTGTGTTTCTAAATTCCCAATTTTGAGCTCTCCCCTCTTCCACATAAATAGAATGCTTCATCGCTGTCTCCAGATTCTCAGAATGTTTCCTCTAATTTGTAAATCTTATCAAGCAGTTGATGTTGGAGAAGTTACTTTCCATGTTCCTCTGCATGTTACATGTTATACACCCTCCAAAACTAGCTCTCCTTTGTAGGTGCTGGCCTGAATGTCTGTTGTTTTGTAGGAGGCAGAGACATGTCTGGAGCTAAAGAATACTGGGAATATCACCCTATGTCTAGTGCAGAAATATCTCCAGACTTTGTCCCTACCCATTCAAAGCTCTTCTGCTAGACAGCCATGGCTTCTCAAGCAAAAACAAGGGCGGGGTGTCTTCCCAGAGAGACAAAGCTTTTATGAGAGCTGTCATTAAGTGATGGTAGAGCCCTGGCTGGTGTGGTTCAGTGGGTTGAGGGCTGGCCTTTGAACCAAAGGGTGGCCAGTTTGAATCCCAGTCAGGGCATGTGCCTGGGTTGCGGTCCAGGTCCCCAGTGGGGGACGCCAGAGAGGTAACCACGCATTGATGTTTCTCTCCTTTTTCCTTTCCTTCCCCTCTCTCTAAAAATAACTATTTAAAAAAAAAAGTGACAGTAGAGTTGCTCTGTCTTGTATGTGAATCTTGTTGGTGTTGCGTAAGCAGAGCTGAGTTCTACGGGGAGCCTTGGAAAGGCTCCTGCCCTCGCATTGTTGACATCCGGGTGCCCCTGCTGGGGGCGTCCTTGCGTGGCTGCCTGAGCCCGTTGGCTGCACTCACCGTGCGGTCGAGGATTCTGGTTCCCACTGCTCTTCCAGCTGGCGAGTGTGTCTAAGGCCAAATTGACTGACCTACTGGGGCCTGCACTTGGAACGTCCACACTGAAGCTTCCTGACAATGCATCACGCTTGGGTCCCCACAGGCGCCGTGGAGATCGTCGCTTGAATTTGGGTCACCGTGGGTGCCAGTGCAACCACTCTCCTGCGTGGTTTTTGTTTCTGAGCTGGATCACCTGACTCGCAGGAGAGGGCACTGTTTAGGGTAGGGCAGGGTGGAGAGAGGCGGGCTGGGACGAGGCTAGCCAGTAAAAATACTTGAAGCTTACACGGGACTCCTGAAATCTGTGGTCAGGAAGGGCTGAAAGAGAAAAACTAATTGGAAGAGATGGACTGGTTAATAATATTCATTGTACCTCCAGAGGAATCCTCTGTTCTGTTCTATTTCCATGCCTAGGGGCCCAAGGTTTTCCCTGTTGAAGTTCTGGTGGTGCTTAACCTTAGCCACACCTGGGACTCACAGGAGGTGCTGCAGACATCATGGATACGCAGGCCCCACCTGAGACATTCTGAGTTAATTGGTCTAAGGGTGTGGCTTTGGCATTGTGGTTTATAAAGGTGTCCAGGTGATTTTAACGTATAGTCAAAGTTGAGACCACCAGGGGAAAAAATAATTACACAACTTCTCACCTGGAAAATTAAAGCAAGTGGGGGGCGAAATGGATCCCCCCGCAAGACTCGCCCGGTGTGCTGCAACCAAATCTTGTGACACTCTCAGAAATCAAACGCAATTCACCTTGCACTGTTATAGGCTTTACAAGGCCGTGGGAACCCTGCTTGAAACAATCTCAAACGTAATGCTTCAGGGTCCTAAGCTCAGGGTTTGCTCAGGGTTGTATCTGACCTTGAGCCCTTCTGACTTTGAAGCTCTTTTGTGTGAGAGCCCTTGAGGCTTTGGCAGAGACAGAACTATGGAGAGGTCACCTTTGGTGCTGAATGACCAGGCAGGGTGGGGGGACTCTGCTTTGAGCCCTTCCCTTCTTCTGAAGGGGTAGGAGCTCTGGGAACTGGGCTGGTTCCCAGCACAATTAAAGGGCCAGGAGGGGCCAAGGAGCTTCAAAGCTTAGGCAGCTGTGCCAGTTTCCTTCCAAATCCCTTTAATGATGGGAAATGTTTCTCCAAAGACTTCTGTCATTCAGAGAAGGGAGACTTTTCCCCCCAAGCCAAAGGAGGCTGGCACGTCTGCCCAGAGCCCAGGCTGAGCCGTGGGGGGAGTGGGGAGCAGTCAAGTGCAGGGAAGCTTAGGAACCAGGAGAAGCACGTGTTCTGTTTCCTTGGGCCAGTCACCGAGCTCCCCAGGCCCCAGTGTCCCCACCTGGAAAGCAGCCTCCAGTGTTTGCCTGGGTGACTTTCCGAGCACTCGGTGCTGGTTGCTCTGTGGTTGCTGAGGAATCTTTGGAGGGAGAGGCCGTCTGGCGGGGGAGAGGGGATGAGGGAGGGCATGCGGGCAGCCCAACAAAGGTCAGTTTAAAATTGTGATTCTTATATATAAAGCCAACTTCCTGTTGAGAGCAGAGAGCGGTGGACTTCAAGGGAAAGAGAATGCCATCAGCCACGCTGGGAACTTGTCCCTCAAGGACTTTTGTATGGCGGTGCCTCCAGAGATGGACAGCGGTACCACAGCCACCTTCTGGAACACTCCGAGAGACAGACCAACTGAGGCCTAAGGAGATTAGCGCTCAGAAAGCAGAAGCAGGGTACACTGTCCCTGACACTTGAGTTTCTAAAGGGCAGAATTCTTAGTGACGGCAGGGTTTGTTTAGAAAGAAGCACTCGAGGCCATTTCAGACCCACTCCTTGTCTCTTCAGTCTTCAGGAGCAAGCCCCCATGCCTCCTCTTCCAGGAAGGCCCCCCGAGTTTCCCTGTGTTCTCTCGCTCTTTCAGGTAGAGCCTTATCGGGGCCGGTCACATTGTAGGTATTTGTTGAATTAATGCCTCACTCTCCTATATGTTTATGTGTCTGTTTCTCTTGTTAGACTGAGCTCCTTCAAGGCAGGGGTCTTGTCTCTCTCCCCAGGGCCGTGACTGGGGAAGGAAGGAAGGAAGGAAGGAATTACAGGCAGGGGCACCATGCTCTGGCCCTGGAGAGCAGAGGGGAATGAAGTGCAGTCACAAAGCCACGTTCAGAAACGGAGACGCAAGCTCGCAGGGGCCTCCCTGCGCTTTCCCGACTTGAGCCTTATTTCTGTCTGTTCCAGCGCAGGGGTGCTGCTGTCTGGTGGTACAGAGAAGGATCCTGCAGGTTTCTGCTTGTGAGTATGAGCCTGTCTGTGCCCTCTGCAGCAGCGCACCTGGCCTCCAGGGCTCCTGAGGGCACAGACCTGGCCGTGCCCAGGCTCTGGATGGAAGGCTGAGGGACCTCGTGGAGCTGGGTGTCAGCCTGGGCACTCCGGGCCTCAGGGGTCTGATCCAGCCTTGCCACTAACTCGCTGCGCGACCTTGGGCAAGTCAATTAATGTCTCCGGGTTTGTTTCCTCATCTGTACAAATGAGGATAACAATTACTAACCTGCATCACGTGCTGCTTGGTGGATACTTTCCAAGAGCTACTGGAATATACTGTGAGAAAAGACAATGTTATGTTAATTTAGGGAAGCGGGTGCTCCAAGACTTCTGTGACGTGGTTCTGACCCCTCCCGTGTCTGCCTCCTTGGGGGCGGGGGTCCTCACAGTTACCTTGGGCACCAGCCGTGGCCATCACGTGCTTTTCGAAGCTGCTGGGAGCTGAGTGGGGGACGCTCAGCCTGTTCCCAGACAACCTAGCTTCTCAGGGCCAGCACCCGCTGTGTTATTCCCCTTCCTCTCGATGTCGACTGGGGAGGAGCCGGGTGAGGAAGTGCTTGTTCTTGAGCCCGACCTGTGGACCTCCACCCTGGCCCCGGCTGACTTTCCTCTGATGGCCCAGGAAGCTTGTGTAAGAGAGAGCCTGACAGCCGAACAAGAACTTCAAGCTCTTTACTCATTTTCTGTCACTTGGTTCTCCTCCCTCCTTGGCTTCCAAACCAACCAACCAAAAATCCCATTGCGAGGGAGGAATAGGAAAGAGTAGGAGCCCTGCACGCATTGCAGCAGACGGGTGTAAAAGAGAGTGAACCCAGGGTCTCTGTGGCTGTTACGTATCAGGGAGGAGTGGGGAGGGGCGCTGACAGGAACAGAAGCTCTGCTGTGTTTGCAGACCCCCCAGTTCTCTCCTCACTTCCTTGAGCCTCCCCCAGGGACTTCAAAGACAGCTGCTAGCCTGCTCAATCTCGGCACACAGTGCAAGTCAGCCTTGTGCCCACGATGGAACCGAGAAAGGGGCAACCTGCTGCTCCCCAGCAGGAATCTCAGTGGTCGCTTTCCCCAGGACAGCAGCCAGCCCACCCTCCTGGTTTGCCCAGGGCTTGCCAGGTTTTCCCACTGACACTCCAACGCCCCAGGCAGATGTTTGGCCACTGTATTCTCAGGCCTCAGTTTTATTAAAAGGTGAAGATTTTGGTTTCCCCACAGCCAAGGTGAAATGGAGCCACTCATTTCATCTCTTTTGATGAGAAAGCACAAAGCCCAACGTAGACACGAGCGAGCAGTTGGTGACCAAGCACGAGTGATACACGCCAGGATGTTAAGCGACAAAAAGCCAGATTCAAAAGTCTACACACTACGTGGTGCCATCTGTGAGACTTTTGGGGGAGAGCCGAACCGCAGGGAAAGAACCTGGGTCAGTGGTGGCTGAGGCTGAGGCTTGGCCACAGAGGGCTTGGCCACAGAGGGGCACAAGGAAAACTTTGGGAATGATAGAAATCTTTATTTTTCTGCTCTTCATGGTGGTAGTGGTGACAGAACCCCAGGTTTTTAGGAAAACTCAGAACTGTGCAGTTTATAGCTTTTTTTGTTTCTGTGTGTACATTATAATGCCAGGAAAGCTGGGTCTGAAACAAACCCTAGTAGTTGGCGATGCTGGGGCTGAAGGTGAAGACTCCATCAAACTTTCCGGTGGCCATCTGGGTGTAAACAGGACCTGAGGCCTCGGGGTGCTCGTGCCTGCATCAATCTGGAAAAGCAACAGTAAAGGGTGAAGAATCTGGTATAAAACAAAAAGGCTGCTTGATGGCTTTTCAGATGCACAGACTTCTCCATGAGGCACACCTGGGGGGGTGGTGGCAGCTCTCGGTCTACTTAGAGAAGAGGACAGCTTCTTCAAACGCAGGCAGCCCATGAGCCGGGAGGGTCAAGGCACACTGAAGCCTGCGCCCCAGTCCCCACCCTGGGGACTCTGCTTCTCCACACACATGGATCTGATGTATTGACTTTGGCCGCCTTTGTGCAAACTGTTTTTTTTTTTTCCCCACCAATAAATTTATTGAATTGAAATTGAGTACCCAAGTCTGCACCACAATTTTTCCTGGCTCTTTGTGTTTGGCAGTCCTGCTTGTCTATGCTAGCTAGTAGCTAGGATTGATTGGAGAACCCGTGATTTAGCACAATAATGCGCCTAGTACCACGTGGTGTGGGGACTCAGCCCTCCTGATTCCAGGCAGGGGACAGCCTCGTGCTGTGAGGGCAGAGTCACCAGGCCTGGCTGCACCAGTCCAGGACCTGGGGTGTGGGATCCCAAGAGAATGAAGGGGCAGCAGGCTGGTGGTCCTAGTGGAATCTGAAGATCCGCGCCCCCCCCCCCCATGGAATTGGCATGTTTTTCAGGTGAACCATGTTTGGCTCAATGACTCAGTGCTGGATTTGTCTTCCCATCTCACTCGAGTCCGTGCATGGGGACCATATGGGCCCATATTGCATTCAATCATGAGTGACACAGAACTTTGCAGGTGCAGCTCCTCTTAATAGCAAATTAGTCCAAGCCACCAGTCACTCACAGAGGCAGGTCTGTTTCATCCCTTCTGGGGTGTTCAGGGAGATTTGCAGAATCGTATGGTAGCTGGTGCAGCCCTCCGTTCTAATCATCTCAGCTTTATGCTGGGACCATGGGGGTGGGAGGGGAGCCGAGAAGTATCCTTTTGGTGCAAACCAGAAGTGAAACTTCCCCAGTGCTCAGTCAGGCCTGACTTGGGGATGGGCCACCTAGGAAGGGCCAGGTTCGGGGCAGCCCGAGCACCACTCCTAGTTTAAAAGCAAGGACAGGAGGGCTGCAGAGGAGACACCAAGTGGGCGTAGGTGGGGGAATTCCAGGGGCTTTTGTACCTGGACCGCCAAGGGTTGCCACCATCTCCCCAGGGCCACCTTGGCACACTGGCCGCCTTTCAGGTCTGGGGACTGTCTCAGCCTTCCTGTTCCACCACCAAGCGAGACTCCTGCCATTTCCTTCCATCTTCCACCTCCTTCTTTCTCCCCCAGTTTTTACACAACAGGATTTATTCATGTTAACTATATTCAAGTCCCCAGATGGGGGGAGGAAAAAGATCGTGTTGAATGAGCTTATTGTTTGGAGATTTCACTGACTTCTTTTATTTAATACCCACAGTCCTAGAACATATTGAGCTGATTTACTAAAATTCAAATGTGGCCCTTTTAGAAGGAACGCCACTTGGGTGCTCCTCGTCCCTGTCGTCGGGGCTGGAATCTAAATGGGGGCAAGTTGGCCTGGGGCATCTCATCTCCATTGTGAAGAGTGTAGAGTCTTCTTGGCAGATATTCTCAGTTACAATCCCAGACTCCTTTTGAGCTTGAGATGGTCACTACCCTACTGCCCTTAGCATCATTAGGCCTTTTGTGGAATCCCCTTCTAGTATATTTTTTGAACAGGTGAAGATGGACATCAGCATTTGATACCACGGTTGACAGGAGTGAGTGTCAGCCTCATGCTCCTGCCTGACGGTCTGATGCAGCTGGTCCATGGCAGGCGGGGCAGAGTCAGATTGTGTGCCATTTAGCACGTTTTGTTTTTTTTGGGGGGGGGCCCTGCAGTCCATGTTGCTCGATTGTGGCTGAGGGTCCCGGTGGGTGTGATGGGCGGGTATGGCCGTCTGGACGGCTGTGACAGCTCCAGGTGTCCGGGGCCTTGGCGATGTCCTGAGCGAGAGCTGCAGGTCCTTGAGCTGGGAGAGGCTTGGGTCTCACTGGACACAGTGGGGGCCTGTTTCTGGTTCAAGTCCGTAACATCACAGACGCCCTGGAGGTCAGCCCGGGGCAAAGCAGGTGTGGGGTTGCTGACCAGACCGTCACCCAGTGGGAGTGGCTCGGGAGCACACAGGGTCCTGCTCGCCTGTGCAGAGTTCTCCTTCCTCCTCCTCCTGCTCTTCCTCTCTCCTTCCTGGTCTATCATCCACTTAGTCTTCCCTCTTGATTTTTGTTCACTTTCTCTTGCTTTCCCTGCCAATTCTGGTCATGTCTCTTGGGTCTTGAATCTAGAAAAGGCTGCCCTCACCACCCTGAGAACTTGAGGTCAGAAAGACCCAGAAAGAGAAAGTCTCCCCTTGGCCCCATGTCTCCCGTTGGCCCCAGGTCCCTGGTGGCCCCAGGCTCTCGTGTCTAGTAGCCATGGCCTGTGTCCCAGGCTCCCCCAGGAGGAGCGGATGACCTCAGAGTCAGGGCGGGGAACGTGGGGGTTGCTCTTGGCCAGACGAAGAGCATCTCATTCTCTCCTGGAAGAGGAGGCCTGAGTGAAAATCTGTTTGGCATGGGCCCTGCTGCTTCGTCAGGCCCTAGAAAGCGTCACTGCACATGGCCGGCTACACAGAAGGCCGCCTTCCCCAGCCCCCAGGGCCCACGCCATTTGCTCAGCCCGAGACCTGGCCAGCCACCCTAGCTGGCCCGGAGCAGGTTAGTGGTGCTGTGACCGGAGTTCCCAGGACAGACTTCTTCTCCTCTCTGAGTCCTCACATAGCCCTGCTGACCTCCAAGGGGTGGAAGCAGCAGCCCTGGCCCCGGCCCCTCCTCCGGCCGCCCCCAGCTCCCTGGAAAAGGGCCTCAGAGAGGGCCTGGCATCTGCACAGGGGGAGCATGAGAACGTGCCACGGTTTGGAGAAAAGTTCCAAACATGAAGGCTCAACATGGACTAAAATAATTTTTCCCATTGACCTCCTGGCCCCTCTGTGGGCAGGCGTCCACCCCCCGCCCATCTGATGTGGGTTTGGTACATGTAACTGTAAACAGTTCAGGCTGTGAGCAAACCTCCTCCAAGAGTTATGGGATCCAGGTGTCGGGCCCGGCTTGCCACGCACTGCTTCCCTTGAGAGTGGGAAAGGCGGGTTTGTTCCCAGAGGGAGGAGTCAGGCTGTTGCTTTTGAGATCAAATCCTTCTGAAGCATGACTCCCTCCCA